ATATAGTATTAGTATAAGTTATGTGCAGAGGTTGCACTGCCAGTGAGGTGTGCCACTTCTGTTGGGAAATGCAAATCTGATGGAAGTGGTTTTTTATTCCAGTAACCTCCAAGTATGTTCCAGGAAAGGCAACCCAGCGGCTTTCTTTTTTTAAAATATATGTCTGACTTCACAAGATGGTACGATAAGGTAACTTAACCTGAATACATTCAGTCAGCCATTTAGTGACTCTTGTGCTTTAATAGTAAACCCAACTGACCAATTTCAATGTCAGTCAGTTCACATGATGTCGTCCAGTGCAAAAACTTTCAGGGCTGTCAGCTTTGTAGGACAAGTAATGGTCGTTGTTAGCTGATATTTAAGATCACATTTTACTTAGGTGTTGTTCAAAGATTTTTTAAAGTATGTAAGTATATAACGAAAGCGATAAATATTTGTTATTAATGCTACTTTGAGTGTGAAATGAACATGTTGCAATGAGCTGAGCTAATGAGATAGCTGCAAGTTGTAAGTTGTATCGTGCGCCCTTTTAGGTCACGTTGCTATCCAGACACTTTGAAACATCAAAAACGTCTCTGTTGTTCTTTCTTATTGAAGTGACAACGGAAGCAGCCATGTATGCAATGTGCTGTGACCTTTCAAATATACGGCAAACACATAGTCAATGCATTCCTGACGTTCCAAATGCACCGCACCGACTAAACTATGGCGGCATGCCTGGGATTCTGCATTAATCCATGGAATAGGGCTTCAATGGCAAAAGGAAATATTTACCTCTTTTAGAAATAACAGCTGGGAGACTAGTGTCTAGGGCCCCAACACAATAACTGCGAATCACTGAAGCCAGCGAGGTCTTTTCCTATCTTTCTGGGTCAAATTGACCCCTGACAACAACATTCTTGATGAGTTACACCTCAACAACACAGCTGCTGATAAAGGGTTTGCTCAGAGAGAAGCAGCAAGTTATTGATATGATGTGCAAAAAAAAGTAGACCAGTTTAGTTAATACGCAACCAGCTAAATCCTTATCAATGCCGGTCAATACTGTATGTCATTATAAAGAGATAAACAATCCTTATCACTCTTCTTACATTAGTATTATCATAGGACAGTAAACTCACTGCAATAACTTAAGGCAAATAGGTGAGAGTGAATGGAAATATTTAAGAGTGTGTTATATTTCAGGCCCTCCAGGGTTAGAACTTTACTCTCCTGCCATGTGTTGTATTTCTTTAATACAGGCACGTGCTGTAATAGAAAAACATCAATTTTCCATATGGTCAGCACTGTTACCAAAGTCTGCTTGCAATAGAAATAAAAGCAACATCATATTTGCAATTATTGCTAGGCCAAGCAATGTATTTTTCCTTCTGTTACCATGCTGAGTCATTTGATTGTTAAAAATGAAACATCTTAACTTTGTTAATAACATATCCCAAGCTTTGGCCCGCAGCAGAATGTGTGCATGAAACATTTCCTTTCAAAGCAGATTAAAATTTATAATTTACATTTTATGGCTAGTCCTGTCTAATTTGTGGAGCATTAATTTAAGTGATAATATCATCATAATTATTGGACCCCATGACCCAAGAGACATATATCATACTGTATCTTTAATTAGACTAGCGAACTGGGTATCCATCACATTAAACAGCTTTAATGTCTTCATCAGTAAAGTGTAGGCTGTTCTTTAATTATTTTGTTTTTCCTGCTTTATTGTTTCATAGCCAGTGTCAGGCAGCTGCCCCCTAAAAGAAGGGCCGTTCAGCCACTGCAAACAGATGGTCCACACTTCTTTATTAATCACAGCATCAGCTTTGGTTTCATTACAGACTGAACTGTGTGCACCACATGACCAGTATGTGGAACGTTTTCATTGGTAATCCATTACTGTCTTTTGCTTTTACACATACACACATATGTTTTTAGCATCAAAATGAGGACTCAGAAACGCAGGGAGATCTCTGTTTTGAACATATTCATGTTATCCTTTACTTTTTCTGCCCTAACGTGCACTTGCATCCTCATGTAAACACAGTGTGACTGCTATCTTTTGCAGTATCTCATTACAATTGCACCAAGTCACTGAGATAGGAAGAAAGAATGCTAACGTAAGAATGCTCATGTGTGGAAAAGTACTGCAGCTCCAAGGTCAGGTGAATCACAGTGGAAAGACACAAAGGCTCGGTGTCAAGCAAGTTAAAACATGAGCTACGTCAACATGATTAAAAGACATAATTGAAATTTGCATCAAGGTGCCCTCTTTCTTAGAAAGGTATTATCTATTGAACTGCTACATACCTGATCAACTGAAAAGACAAGTCTTGACTGTACTTGTCGATGATTATATAACCATGAACACTGACTCATGTGAACCCAGAATTTGCAAACCAACACTTCATGGTAAAGTGCTGCCAGGACCCCATGAACATACACACAAGCTCTTTTGAGGAAACTGAGTGTGCTTTTTTTGCAAGTATTGTGACAAAGAAGAATGATCAGAATGTAGTTTTAGTGTGTGTGTAGTTTGTGTGTTTTTTTCTTTTTGCGTTTCTAAATCTGCATTTCAGAGTTTATATAACTTTCTGGCCTAGCTACACACTATGGTTCGCTGCGTCCGGTGGCACTGCCCTCTGTTTTGCATATGTCACCCTCGCCCTTGGGGTTTCTTTTGCCATCCGGTCCTTCCGTGACCACTGACGTTTAATCCAGCCAGGCTTGCGATGACTGCCTGTGTTGCCCTTTTTTCGGATCACGTTGTTGTACATTCCACTCATCCTTTTACTAATAATTCGGGGAAACTCAGTTTCTCTGTCTGGCTCTGTACTTAATTTATCTCAGAGTTTTTCAATCTGCCTCCCTTTAGAAGCCAAAAAACATGTATTCAACACAGCCCTGGATTTCTAGAAAGCACTCAGGACTCCATGCCAGAGGACCCATGTCAGTGCAATATTGAGTTTGATATAATCAGAGGTCATTTTAGGGGTTTTCTTAGCTTTCATGTCAGAGTATTGAAGCAGTTTTTCTTTAGTGCTGCTTGATTGTGACCTTATAAATGATTGCCGCACTCCTCTTTGATTCATAAACCCGTTTAGTTAACATGGTTTATAAATAAAACTTGTTAACTAAGATACCTGCATTTGCTGCCTGTGACAGTAAGTGTCTGCAATTTTAGAAATGCATGAACATAAAATGCATGAGAATGATGATATCATAAGTAAGATTATATAGATTATAAATTACAATTAAGGATTTAAGGGTAACGATTAATGTCACACTCACTAGTGTTGCATTAAACCTTGCAAGTCAAAAGCTAATCTGTCAACTAGTCTATAGTTGCTTTGTACTCTAAAGCATCATTACAACAGGTAATTGTAGTAATATACGACAGACTCTGAGTGACTTATTTAATGCCCATCTGCTGTATGCTTGCATTAAGTGCAACAATCAAACTGTTCATATAACTGTATGTTATTTTTTTCCATTCATTTCATACATAAGGTGGATGAGATAACAACTCTCTCGAGGCTGATGTGGTACTCTTGCCTTTTATTGCGAAAGCATGACATGTGGTCTCCCGCTGTCCGTCCATTTCACCACATATTGTGTTGTAAGGAGCTTTCATCAGACTAAGCCAACTGGAAAAATTCACCTGAAAAGTGTCTGAAAACTGACCAGAGTTAAGAGAAACATAGAAAAAATCCAGGGTCAGCGTGGAGACCCTGAAACACTTGGACTTTTTTTTTTTACTATGCAAAATCTCCTTTTATCTGATTTGCACATGAAAATTTCCATCAGACACCAGCCTGTAACTTTTCCACGAGGAGAGCATTAGCAGGAGGACCTACATTTGCAAAGTAGATAAGGCAGTTTCTATTTTACTTTTTTAGACTCTTTCCCCCCTTTTCTTTCTTTTTGGCACACTGGTTGAGGAATTTTGCAAGACATATTCCACAGAATGTCTATCGGGTTACAGACTTACTGTTTTCATCTATTCTGCTTCTATTGTCTCTCTCCTTTAGGCTAGAGACAACTCTTTTCAGTGTGCCTCATTGCACTGATGGTCTTTGTGCAAAACCTTCCATATGCCTTAAGTTTTGTGTTTACAGGGAAGGAACCCAGCAGCTATCCAACTGCTGGCCCAGCAATACAAAGCATGAATGATCTGGAAATGATCAGATATAGTAGGAGTCATCCCTTACAGCAACGTGGCTCTGTTGGGCAAAAACACCAGGCTTTCAAACAATTATAAAGTATGTTATCAAGCACCCTTTTTACACACAGACACAAAGCTGGAGTGTCCTTGAGACAGACCTCTTATTGCTCTTGACAGCTGGTACCGGAAAATTTACTATAAACAAGGACTTCATTTTAATTCCTTGGTTTTTCGCTGAATATGGAGTCAAGCATATCTGAGAACTGATTTACTGGGGTAATTCATTAATATATATATGTATATGTATATATGTATGTATATATATGTGTATGGCTCTTAAATGTGTTGCATTACGTGTTGCTGCCATCTAGGGTAAGCCTGTTTAAAACTGCTTTAGACTGGCTATCACTCAATTTTATACTGTGCTCCCTCTATGAGGGCAAATGAGGAATTACATTTCAAACAAGTCAGGCCAAGCCAATAACTATAAAGTGATGTTATTTCTTTTTGGTATATGGGAATTAATGGGCGTATAAATGTGTTTTTCACCTTTTAACCACTATCAGCACTCTTATGTCTCAAGTATCCAAAGCAAATATCAACATTTTAATATGCCTTATTCAAGGTCATGCCTCACTATCACACACACACACACACACACACACACACACACACACACACACACACACACACACACACACACACACACACACACACACACACGAAAGATAAAGACAGCAAATAAAATATAAGCAGCTTTCTGTGAGCTAATTACTTCGTAGGTTACTCTGACCGGCGACGCTCTTGTGCTCTCTCCCTGTTTTTCTCTGCTTTCATTCCAAAGTGATTTCCTGATCAGTTCCATGATGTGGCCTTCTCAAACATGGCAAAAGGTTGGTACAGTTGAAGCTTAAATGTTTATAGTCTTTGTCACTCAGTAATGTTAAATTGTTAAATCTATCTCTATATATTTAAGAGCAAATTTGTCTTCAGGTGACATTAAATGAAATAAATAAAGGAAAAATAATGCACTGTTACTTGTTTTGTGTTTTTGAGCTCTGAAAACTCATTTTCTCACCTGATAACAAATGTGTTACTTTGTGTATTCAAAAGGGCACATGAAGGGTGCATGTCAGTTTTCTATGCTTTTTCTTTTATAAGCAATTAAAGAAAGAATTTCAGTGTAACAATAAAAAACCTAACATCATGTTTTGATCAGACTTGCAGTGTTTTACATTTTATGCTGATAAAAAACAGTAAAGTACTGTTGACGCAAATCAAATGAATTGAAAGTTCAACTTTGAATGAAAATTGAATTAAAGAATACCCAAGAACATCTTCTTTGCTGTTTTTTCTTTTTTTTCTTCTTTATATTTTGCTTTATTTTTTGTGTTTGTGTCAAGCAGATTTTGGATTTACAGGATTTAAAGCAAACAAATGGGGCTTTAAAATAAATTTTCCATGTTTTTTCATTTTTTGATAAAAGTCTTGTGGTTCTTTCAACTAGTTGAGTGACACTAATTGGTCAAACTTGACCCTTCATCTTGAGACGTCCCTTACCAACGCACTGAATCACTTCCTGGATAACTGGAGGCGCAACGTGACTGCTGCAAGCAACTCTCTGGACAAGACTCTGGCTGAGGAGAACTTCAGGGACGTGATCTGGTATCTCGCCGTGATGATCGGCATGTTTGCCTTCATTATTGTGGCCATGCTGGTGAACACAGTCAAATCTAAAAGGAGGGAGCACTCTAATGACCCCTACCACCAATACATCAAGGAGGACTGGACTGCTCAAAAACAGCAGGGCGATATCATAGCTAATTTTGAGGCTAGATAATGAGGGCAGAATGAGGTCACAGCAGAGATTTGCTGTGAAGACCAGCAGAAAAAAAAGTCATATAAAAAAAGAACCATCATTAATCAGTTACCATTACTAATGAGCACAACAGCAGATTTTGCAAAGTTATTTCTTGATGTCCCACTGCTAACCTGTTAGATGAGCTTCTGAAGGACAGCTTATATGTAGATGTATAACAATGCAATACTGGAAATGTATTAGGGAAAAAAATGTAGATTTTGAGATGTTGCGCTTTGAAGCATATAAAGATTTTGCACTTTGAGCTGTTGTTTCTTTATTCTCACATATATGCACCCACACAAACATACCTAGAGACAAGACAGAGACGGAGAGAGAAAGAAAGAAAGAAAAAGAAAAGGAGGAGGTACACCGAATAAAGGTTTATAATTTTTAACCATTGTGATGGTTGTGATGTAAATTTCCAGAGGTATTTGTTGGACAGCACTCACATAAAAACATTTTTTCTGCCAATGGCCATCTGCTGCATGTGTCCAGATGACACCTATTATCTCATTTTCTTTACTAATCAACTCAACTTACAGTCAGTGTTCCCTTGTTGTAAGTAAGTATGGGCTGTGAGTTTTGGGCAGAACTTTACTTGATAAGTAGCACTCTAAAAATGTAATTGAAGTATCAGAGGTCTAAGGTTTCCAAAGCAACAAAAGTGCATAGTGAACATAAAGACATTCTGACATTCATGCACATTTTTCAAAGATTCAGCTTTGTGTAATCACACCTGCACATGCATTCCTGCTGTGCTGTGGCCAAAAGTGCTATGAAAAGGTTTGTCAGCAGCCGTACATATTTTGGCCTGAGGAGGGCAGCAGTACCTCTATCCCGAGATCTTATAAGCACCTGCAGTACTTCAAGCAGGAGCATGAATGCAAGACACCAAAGTAGAAGTGTTTCTAATGCTTTTTTGTGGCTTCAGTGGTTATTAAAGATGCAGTTTACTAGTAAAATTGTGTTAAAATCATTTGAGGTACATTTAGTTATGAGAAGCCAGTGAGACATAACAATTCAATCACATTCCAGCCAAAGCAAAAGCTGTTATATTATCAACACACTGGACAGCAGCACAGTGACTGTTCTTTTATTTGCTTGTCCTTTGCACATCTGTTGCCAGATTCCATTAAAATACACCAACATTTTCCACTGTAGCACCAAGCTCCTTGTGGACTTTTGGTCTTCACCGATATCTCAGAATAACTAAACCCTCAAATCTCTAGTGCTCAGCGTGCTTGTCCCACATTACTAACTCTCCCAAAGAGACATCACAGTGAGCAAGTACTGTAACTCATTATTAAACCCTGACTGTCATCCTTCGCTATCCTCTGTTCTCAGTTTGCTCTTCTATTTTTAGCATTCAAACAACTGGTCTCCTAAAAATGGGCCTATCCTGCATGAGTAGTGGAAGGGGAGTGCTGCTATGTATGGTATCCACCCCCAGTGTCTTGCAGCCCTTGCAGTACTCCTCTTTCGCCTTTGTGTCTGCAGGCGTGAAGAAGTAATGACGAAAGGAGTTTCTTGGCCCAGAGGATACGTTAAATTTTTGGATTTCTTTGGACACCGGGGGATGCCTGCAAACTGCCACTGACGGACCAGCAATATATCTGTTTCTTACATTTCCTCATCCTTTCATAGGCCTTATAGGTGACCTTTCTGACCGTGCATTTCCTTTATACTGTGAAACTAACTCATACTCTGGTGGTGTGTGATAACTCTGGACCATGCTCTCCCTGTGGTTGTTCTTGCTCCCCTGCCTAAACTTTGTGCCTCAGGCCCTGTCTGAGAAAGGCCTAGAGTTGCCACAGTATGATGGGAAAGACCGTGTTCTTGATATCAATGACAAGAACTACAAGAAAGCTTTAAAGCAGCACAGCATGCTCTGCCTGTTCTACCATGAGCCCATAGCAGACAGCAAGGAACTGCAAAAACAACACCAGATGACTGAGTTGGTGCTGGAGGTAAAGTATAAGGAAAAAGAAATCAATGCATGCAGTGCAGAAAAAGATTTGACAGGTCAGGGAGAAAAGTGCAGATAACTTTAAAGAAAGTTGAGTTAGCACTCAAGGAGATGCAGCAAAGAAAGGAAAACTCATATGATTTGGTTGGGTGACAGCGGTGTGAGACAGAGGGCGCTCATAATCCCATCAAACAGACTCATAAGTGACTCTATGTTAGTGCTACAATAAGCAGAGAGGGACCTGGTGAGCTATAAAACTCCAGAGCTCTCCATTTTAATCTCTGTATATATGAGGTTCCTCAAGGTCATTGTGTGCACAGATGCAATGAGATGCAGTGCTGCCACTTCAGGTTATTTCAGCCAATTCAGTGTGTGCCTCCTTTCTACAGAAATGCGTGAAATTTATTCTCCTTGTGATTATTCTTTGCTGGCAGAAATAATCCAAGAGCTCATTTATATAATGTTTTTAAGCCACACATGTGAAGGCTGATGCGACCTTCTCTTCTTTGGTATATTAAAGGTATTTAATAGATTGAGTAAGCAGCTGGAGACACGTCTATATAGGAGATTTTAGTCTGTCTTTGTGAATCCTGTATGAAACTGTTCATTCTACCCATCTCGTGTGACACATGGTGGAGGACATGTTGCTCTTTGAAATGTTAAAGGCAACCTGAGCCCATACGTGCAGGCAGAACAGGTAGGCCACGTAGTTACTCAATAAGGCAAACATGACACCATGCACAGTGTATTTGTAATAGCTGATTAGAGTCTACTGGTTGTAAGTGAGAAGCTCAAGTATGCCACATATCAGCTTATTTACCCCCAATATCTACAATTTGTAGTATTCTGAGGTCTGTCCCCATCATGGGCAAAATACATTTACATAAGTCTATTTTTACTTGAGTATATCCAAGTAATGACACTCTGTAATTTCATATATAACAGGGGAAAATTAAAATATAAATTCCCAGAGACAGGATTAAGTTGTGGCACATTTTGTTTGTGCATGTAAAAGTAAAGAAAGTTGTTGAAATGAACTTAAGTCAGGCTTTGAAAGACTGGCAACCACAGCTCTCACCCCGTGACAGCTGGGACAGACTCCAGCCTCCTCACAACACTGAAGTGGAAAAGTAGAAGTAAATGGATGGATGGATGGACATGTGAAATGAAAGTGCTCATATAAGTAAATACTTCTGCCAAAAGCAGACGTCCATTTAAAGACGCAATAAAGTAATCCTGTATTAGTAACTACACTGAGCTCTATTCACTTTTTTTTTTACTGTAAATGTTGATGCACTGTTTCATTTGGAACAGGATTGTAAAATAAATAAAATGAAGATCCACTCGTGAGTTCTTTTTAAACTCCATGTTATAATTTTACCAATCTTGATTATTAGTTAATCAAAGTATTAGTGAAGCTCATCCACCTTATTTCACACCACAATTGCCAGGCCAGTCATGTGTATAAACTTACCTGGCTATATTTAGAACAAGGCAGTCTGAATGATTATGTAACCGTATCTCTGTGTGGGCAGCTTGGACACCTCTGTCATATTGCCAACTTTGGTCATGCTGTCAAGCTCCCATTCACAAACAGTCCCATTTAACGTTTTAACCGAACCTGCATTACTGTTTCCAGTACTCAGAAGCCAAAGTGAAAGTTTCTTTTTGTCTTGCCTATTTACGTGCTATGTGTTCAGTCCTGTTCTTACAATTTAGTCCTCTGTGATGTTTTTGTGTTGGTTGCAGCTTGTAGCTCAGGTTATGGAGGAGAAGGACATCGGGTTTGGAATGGTTGACTCCCACAAAGATGCAAAGATAGCAAAGAAACTGGGTGAGTATTGGTAGTGGTACAGACTAAGTCTTTTATTTAACCTCAGTCTGATTGGTAGATTTTGATGAAGAGAACTGCCTTTGATAGCAGTCATTTTTGTTAAGAGTCAGACAACTTTAGGTGTTTGACTGAATCTAATGTCTTATCATTTCTTCTGATCGCAGGCTTAGAGGAAGAGGGAAGCATGTATGTTTTTAAGGCTGATAGAGTTATCGAGTTTGATGGTTTGCTCTCTGCTAACACTCTGGCCGAGTTCTTGTTGGATGTAAGTAAACTTGCTTGAGGGTTGATTCCCAGTTGCTTGCGCTAATCACCACCAGTCACACCCTGCAATCCTCTCCTCTTGCTTTATGCTTATATTCTAGCTGTTGGAGGAACCAGTGGAAATCATAGGAAATGCTCTGGAGCTGCGAGCTTTTGACAGGATGGAGGAAGACATACGTCTCATTGGTTACTTCAAGAGCGAAGAGTCCGAACGTGAGTGTGTATATTTGTAAAACTCGTGTTTTTTTTCAGTCTGAACACACCACACCGCCTCGTTAGATGGATCTGTGAAGGACTTTCTGTGGCCCATGCCCTTCATTATAACATGGATTTTTAACCCACTCGTCTCCATGGATTTACAGATCCATTTTTACCGTTACTGCACACGCAGCTGCCACTGCCTGGCCGCCCTTTCACACGCTGTGGAACAACTGAGCGTAGTATAGTTAACTTGCAGATACATCCCATCTGACCAGCTGTGGGAGTGATAAGCTGAGGTCAAAGTTCTGCTATTTCCGCTCCCCCTTGTGGAAATGTCAAGTACCCATCGGCCAAAGAAAGGACAAACAGATGTACGTCCAAAAAACAAGGAAAAAAACTGTTTAAAAAGCTAACTTGTTCTTTCTTCCTCTTTCTTTTTTACCTTAGACTATGAAGCTTTTAAAGAAGCCGCTGAGCAGTTTCAGCCCTACATTAAGTTTTTTGCTACATTTGAGAAATCTGTAAGTTACAAACAAACACATAAGGCAATGAAACACTTGCATGTGTAGTCCTAACAGGTCAGTTTTGGTTGCTGTAGGTGGCCAAAGAGCTGAGTCTGAAGTTAAATGAGGTAGACTTCTATGAGCCCTTCATGGAGGAGCCCGTGTCCATCCCAGGCAAACCTCACTCTGAGGAGGAGCTGGTGGAATTTATAACTGAACACAGGCGGTAAAAAAAGATTAATGTCATACTTTATGAAAAGTATAAAGATATATTTTCAATTTAACGTCTAATGTTTTTTTTCTGTGCTGTCAGACCAACACTGCGAAAGCTGCGTGCAGAAAATATGTTTGAGACCTGGGTGAGAAAATTAATCATTTTAATTTTAGTTTCCCAAATGCTTTAAATAAATTCACATTTTGGTCT